GAGCACTCAGCACGTGCCAACGGTCCCTTAACAATGTGGCCATTGGTTGAATGTCTATCTCCCTCACGACACCACATTGTGAGTGTGGAAAAACTGATCTTGTTTCCAGTCTGTGTCCCAAGCCTCACATTGTGCCTAGTACATTAGGAAATAAATTGACTATCTGAAGAATTAACTGATAATGGATCTACCATTGGACTGTATTACACACACACATGCACAGGGCTGGGGACATAGCTCAGTTGGTAGAGTGCCTGCCTACCACACATGAGGCCCTGGGTTCAAACACCAGTACTGCATAAGCTAGGTATATCAGTGAATGCCTGTGATCCCAGCACACAGGAAATAGAGGCAGGAGGATTTAAGAGTTTAAGGTTATCCTCAGCTACATAGGGAATTCGAGGCCAGCCTGGATGACATGAGATCCTGTCTCAAAATAGCAATAATATTTAATGTCCTGAAAAAAGTAAATAAAATTAACCATCAAGTTACTAAAAAGAAAAAGGGTTGTCTTTGTGTTTTTTTTAAACAAGTCTCTTTATTCTAGGCTATTTTTGAACTCACTAAGTAGTACAGACAGGCCTTGAACTTACTATGTAACCCAGGCTGGCTTTAGGTGGTGATTGTTCTGCCTTCTGGAAGCACTGAGGTTACAGTGTGTGCCACCATGTCTGGCTCGGTCAAAAATATTGAAAATCTAAGATACAATGAATTTGGGGGACAACGTCTGCCAAATTACTTCATAAACAATACTATCAGTGCAGAGGCACATAATGAAATGATTTGGCTTCAGTGACAAGTTGGTCGCTATAATTAGTCAATTACATTTCAGCCAGTGCTGGAAATTAATACTATTTTTGGTTCTGCAATTCAACCATAGCCACTTCGCCACTAGACAACTTGGGACAAATAAGAAGCAGGTGTTCCGTCCTAAGGCTAATAAGGATCGGGGTGTAGACCAGAGTCCCCTGGCCCCTCTGGGCCTGAGTCCCTGTGTTCTGAGCAGCCTGCACAGCCTCAGATGGTGGTCCATGATCTTCTTGTATGGCAGAAAGGTGGCAGTCCTCCATGGGAACAACAGGAGGGTTGTGTGCATGTGTGCTCATGTGAGCACTGTGTATCAAAGGAGAGGCATACAGTCTTTTGTGTGCACATGTTTATGTATATGTGCACATGTGTACATGTTCATGTGTGTGTAGGCATGCATGCATGTAGTAGCCAGAGTCAGTGATGGGCTGTCTTCTTCAGTTGATCACTACCTTATTTTTTTGGACAGTGTGTGTTGCTGGACTGGAACTCACTGACTCAGCTACACTGGTTGGCCAGCAGGGCCCAGGAATCCTCCTGCGTTTGGTGCTGAGGTTATAAACAAGCTGGTATGCCTAGCTGGCTCTTTTGTTTTTCCATGGGTTCTGGGAGATTGAACTCAGGTCCTCCAGGTTTGTGGCCAGCGCGTTAACCCAAAGGCATATCATCTTTTTGTTACCAAAGATATTTGATTTTTCTATAGCATGAAGGATTTTTTCAACAAAAGAAACTGCACTAAATAATACCTGATTCATTTATCCATTTTTATGAATCACAGACAAATAATAGCCAATTATGTTCCAGAAATTCTTTTGTGGGTCTATACACCCAGTGAGCATGTATAGTCAACAGGAGATAACCAGCACACCAGAAATAACATTCCAGGCAGAGGCAGGAAATGTTTCTACTGCTCTGAACAACTTTATGACAGTTTAAAAAAAACACTCTCATCCAGGGAATTCAGGGTTCACTGGCCAAGGCAGCCAGCTCATGTGAAATGTCCAGTGGCTTGGTGAGCTGGCAGATTCAACCCTGGAGGGGATCTGAAGAACAGCTGGTGTTATTGTTAAGATGCTATTGATTCAACATCCAAAGACAGAATTAAGCATCACAACCTAGGGAGCCCTTTGAGGCCCACAGGAGGGCGCTGGTAGTCCACATGGTGTCTGCCCCTCCCAGGGACATTTCCAACAACATGTTCCTCCTATCCTTAAACTTCAGTCTCTATGAAGCTGAGATACTCCGAGTCTGGATCATCACAGAACAACCCTGTGACATTTTGATCTCAGGAGCCCTTTAAACATTTAACAGCTTTTGAAGTTCTCCAAAATATTGCAATCAATACTTATTTTAGGAGAAATTAAAGCCAAGAACAAGTTAAATACTTCTAACATTTAAAAAATTTAAATAATGAACTTGTTACATGTTAGCAGAAACGACACTGTTTTAATGAAAATAATTATGTTTTCCAAACCAAAAATACACAAAGAAATGTAATTATTTCATATGTTTTCAAATCAACCTGATGTCTGGCTTAATGGAAGGCAACTGCTCCTACATGTGATGTGTGGGGACAGACATGCACATACCATATAGGCCCTAGTGAACTCCACGTGTATTCCTGAGCACACTGAAGTATAAAAAGTAAGTAACTGGGGCCGGCTTGGTGGAATAAGGCTCTTGTTATGCAAACCTGACCAGTTACCTGAATCCCATGTCAGAACAGATCCACTCCTGAGGGTTGTCCTCCCCACCCCCACACATATACAAATAATAAAAAATTTCTTTAAAAAGCAAATAATTGCCAGATGTGGTGGCACATCCCAACCTTCAGGAGGCAGAAGCTGCCATACCTCGGTAAGATCAAGGCCAGTCTGGTCTAGAGAGCAAGTTCCAGGTCAGCTGGGCCTAAAAGGAGACCCTGTCTTTAAAAAAAAAGTTTTGATCTTTTGGATTCCTGCACATGGTGGTGGGATGGGGGAGCAGGGGGAGGGGGGAGGGGTATCTCTGGAAAACTACCTCCAAGGAGCATTATTAATGGTAGCTATTTTCTAGGACTCCAAAATCAGCTCTATTTTGTTTGTTGAGACAGCGTATCTTGTACCACAGGCTAGCCTCCAACTCCAACTCTTCCTGCCTCTACCTCCTGAGTGCTGAGATTACAAACCTGAGTCACCACCCCCAGCTCATTTATGTATGTACTTTGCTATTTTCCCTTGTAAACCATGGCTCCAGCCTTCTGCTTTCCCTCTCTGACTGTTGGCTCAAGTATCTGCTAGACACAGAGCATCTCCATCTGGTCCCTTGTAGGCCTCCAGCATTACAGTTAAAACCAGCTAATGCCTGCTCACGGTTTTGTCTGTCTGCTTAGCTTTAGTTTGGGGTGGTTTGTTTTGTTTTTTTTTTTTTTTTCTAATTCTATTTATTTGGAGAGTGCACACATGTATGATTGTGTGCGCAAGAGGTGGGAGGACAATTTGCAGGAGTCAGTTCCCTCCTTCTACGATGTGAGTCCTGCAGATTGAAGTCAGGTCATCAGTTTTGGTAGCAAGCATCTTTATCTGCTGAGTCATCTCATTGGCTTAATTTTGGGCTTTTATTTAATGTTTTATTTTATTTTATTTTATTTTTTTCAGTTTGAGACAAGGTCTCACTGGGTAGCCCTGGCTGGCCTGACATTTGGAATTCACAGAGATCCACTTGCCCTTGCCTCTAGAGAGCTGAGATTAAAGGCAAGGGTCACCATACTCAGCTCTGTTTTTAGCTTTTTGAGACTGAGTTTCAAACCCTGTTGTATCTCAGGCTGGCTTTGAACTTGCTAGGTAGCCTGGGCTGTCCTGACACTCCAGATCCTCCTGCCTCTACCTCTCAACCGCTGGGATTCCAGGCAAGTACCACTATGCCCTACTCTCTACCTTTTTCATCCCATGTGGGATCTGGCAGAAGTGCCCCTCAGATCCCTCTCAGATCCACTCTGTTTGGTAGTCACCTAACCCACTGCTGGGGCCACCACTCCACTCTGTTATTTAATGTAGTTTAAAAGGAAGCAGGAGGGTTGGTGGAGAGCTTGCCTCTCACCCATGAAACCCTGGGATGTGATCCCTAGCACCACCACCCAAACATACGAGAGAAGATTGAATAAGCCTTGAGATGTGTATACGTGTTTTAATATTTTTAATGTGTGTGTCAACATCCTGGTTTCTTTGGTAATGCCATACTTTGAAAGCATGTTGAACAGGGGTCCAGAGGCTTCTCCTGGTTCCCCACAGGGGCCAGGGCCACCAGCACTCTCTGTGGGAAAGACTAAGGTCTCATTTTTTCTAGGCAAAGCTGACAACTGCACGTGGGTGTTGTCCAGCGCTATCTGCCCAGGCCAGACCAGGCACACAGCCACTCCCCCGCAGGACGGGCCCCAGCGGCTGTTTGTGTAGTCCCCCGACTTGTGGAATGCACACAGGCTTTATATGAAATCCACATGGTGCGCCAGAGCTACTCCAAAGGGCCTGACCAAGGCTGACAGTGCGCCCAAGCCAGGAGGGCACTGGAAAGGGCCCAGGAGCTGAAAGGTCAAGTGCCCGCCCCCCCCAATCTGGGGCCCCGGGGTGACAATGCTCAACTACAGGAAATTGGATCACCAGGACGCCCTGCGTTCCCGGGCCTGACCTCTGGACTCTGAAATGAGCCCAACTCTGGAGCAGGGTCTCTTCCAAGACTTAGCCGGAGCCCACGCACTGATGCAGGGACCGCAGGCTGCACCAAGGCGCGGGACAGAGCACTCGGCGGTTCTTTCCGGCTCAGCATCCGCAGCCCCGCGGCCCGCTGCGACCCAAGTCTGGCTATGGACAGGACCCAGGCCTGTCCCCCGAAGGAAGGCACGGGACAAAGACGGAGGAAACACGAACTATTGCGGAGGAAACTGCCTGGGGTCCCCGGATCCAAGCAGGGCGCACGCGGGGATGGATAGATCAGGGGAGCCAAGGCCGCCCTGGACCTCGCGCGCTCCTCGGGTGACAGCGACCAGCAGTGGGGACCCCCGTGGGGCGCAGACTCGGCGCTGCGCCCCATGTCCGGAGCCCAGGGGTCCCCGCGGGCGACGCCCACGCCCCACGTCAGTCCTCCTGGGCTGCGCCCCTGTGCGCCCCTGGCCATCCTGCCGGCTCAGCCCGTCACCTCCCCTCCCAGCCCTGACTCACATAGACCGAGGTGATGTCCGACTGGTCGTAGAGGCGCAGCTCCCCGAGCAGCTCCAGCGCGGGGGACACCACGTCGTCGCCGGCCTCCAGCTCCAGGTCCCCCTGACCGGGGCCGAAAGGAAAGAGCTCCTGGCGGCTCAGGCACGCCCCGGGCCCGGCTAGCAGCAGCAGCAGCTGCAGCAGCTGCAGCAGCACCCGCGTCCACGCCGCTCGGCTCCGGCCGCTCGCGTCCAGCATGGTTCCCAACTGCGCTACAGTAACCCGGCGGCTTCGCCGCCCAGGCGGAGGAGGCGGGGATGTAACCCGACGCCCCTAGGCAGCCCCTCCTCGCCGCCCGCCTCCCCGCGTCCCCACTCCGGGACACAGCCAGGGGCTAGCCCCGTCCACCAATGGCAGCGAGTGGGAGGGCGAGGGGCACAGAGTGGGCGCGGGTGCCTGAGATGCCCCATCCCACCCGATGGTGAGCTCCCACCCAGCCGCCCTTCAAGAGAGGAGGGATTCTGCAATACCCGCCTGTGGGTTCCTGCAGAACTAGGAAACTAGGGTCTGGGGTCAGGGACCCGGCCCACCCCAGATCCTCACTTGGCGGGTGCTGGGAATCAGCAAAAGGTTCTTGGCAGAGGCCTGTTCCTTTACCACCCATCCGTTCATTCAGCATTTTTTTTTTTTTTTAAATCTATTTGTATTTTATATGTCTGAGTGGTTTGCCTGCATAGATTTAAGTGCACCACGTACATGCGTACATGCAGTGCCCTCGGAGGCTAGAAGAGGGGGTCAGAGCCCCTGGAACAGCAGTTAGCCGCCATTTGGATGCTGGGAACCAAGCCTGGGTCCTCTGCAAGAGCAGCCAGTGCTTAACCACTGACCATCTCTCCAGCCCCTCGGTCACTGTCGTCTTTTGTATTTTTGAGTTCCTGATTCTGGGTTCCCTAAGTTGGAGGGTTCCACCTCCAAGAGCCGGATCCAAACCTCGCGGACTAAGTCTCCAGTGTGGAACACAATTCAAAGGATGGCTGGAGCTCCAAGTGATAAAAGACTAGGGCTGCAGTAACTGGCCACAGTTGTGTGGCATGACGAACTCAAACCAGGTCTTCAGGAAAGAATGCTGTTTTATCATGCATGGGCTAGAGAACGGTAGTCCTAGGAGTTGGAGCATGGAGCCAAGTAGATTCTAGGGACCTGACCATCCCACCCCCACCCCGCGGAGAACTAGAGAGAGACCATTCCAAATAAAGCTTTGAATAACAAATCTAAGAATCTGAGTTTCCGTAAGACTCAGAGAAGAACTATTGAACATTCTTGATAAACGACAAGGCCTAAAGCAGCTGATCATTAATATGGCACGTAGTTGAAAGCGCATACAGATGAGGGCGTTAGAGCCCCCCTTGATGGGGGTTGGGGGTGAAGGGGTGAGAAAAGCAGAGGTGGAAACGGAGAGGAAATTAACAGGCAGTGGATTACTGCGGGAGAAAGAGTAAGACCTGAGGACGGTTTGGCAGTTGAAGCAGAGAAGAAATGAAGTTCAAGTCGGACTCGAGTTTGGCACCTGGAGAACTGGAGAACTAGTGCTGGCTTCCAGGATAGGGAAGAGGCCGCTGGGACATGTGACGTCAGAACTTAACTCAGAGGGGTCAACAGGATGTCCGCTTCCTGCCGGCAGCTGAAGTTAAAGGCCTGGAACCTGGTTTAGCATCCTTCTCCTGATAAACAGAGAAGTCTGTATAGCCGGGCTGGGAGACCATGTGAACCAGCAAAACACGGGAAGAAAACCGGATAGAGTACAGCTCCTGGGCAGAAATTCTCGATCTGTTCAGGATGCCTCCTCATTTGAACTCTTTAGCTGTCGGAGGTTAGCAGGTGTCAAGGGCTTGCTAGGCCCCCAGTGCCTCCTCATCCGCCCCCAACTCAGAGTCAGGAGTCACCCAACTTGGTTTATTTTGTTATTTTTAAAAATATTTTATTATTTTTATTTTATGTGTATATGTATGCATGTCTGTATGCAGTGCCTGCAGAGGCCAGAGGAGGGTGTTGGATGCCCTGGAACTGGAGTTTCAGATGGTTGTTAGGTGCCATGCGAGTGCTGGGAACCAAACCTGGGTCCTCTGCAAGAGCAGCCAGTGCTCTTATGCCCGGCTAAAGATTTATTTTTACTTGTGTGTAGGTTTGTGTCTGTGTGTAGTTACAGATGCTTGTTAGCCACCATGTGGGTGCTAGGAGCCATGTGGGTGCTTGAGCCATCTCTCCAGCCCTTATTTTATTTTTTTGAGGACAAAGTTTCTCACTAAAAACCTAGGACTCACCCATTAGGCAAGACCGGCTGTCCAGCAAGCCCCAGAGTTCCCCATCTCCTCCAGAGCACTGGGGTTGCAGGCACACACCACCACACCCAGCTTTTTACATGGGTGCTAGGAATCAAACTCAGGTCCTTGTGCTAATGTGGCGAATTTTACCAACTGAGCCATCTCCCTGGCCCTGATTTTTTTTTCTTTTAACACTGGAGATAGAACCCAGGACTTCACATATGCCTAGCATGCTAGGAATGTAGTTTGTTACTGAGCTACAAACCTGGCCCTTGTTTTGTTTTAAGACAGGGTCTCACACTGTAGCTCAGGCTGGCCCAGAACTCACTATGTAGTCCAAGCTGGCCTTGAATTCATGGTAGCCCTCTAGCCTTAGCCTCCTGAGTGCTGGAATTACAGGCATCACCACACCCAGCTGGTACCACTCATTAATTTGCTTGGTTTATCTGTGGTGCTGGGAATCAAATCTAGGTCCTCACACATGCAAAGCCCCTCCACTACAGTGTTAACACTGCACTTTCGCCCTCTCCAGTAAGTGGTGCCTATGTTACTACAGAGGGAGAGTGCTGTCGGCCTTAGAGTCCTTCATCAGCTCCAGTGTGCAGCTCTCTGACCCCTTCCCTGTGCCCAGATGTACTTCCTAGCTATGTTCCATGCTGTTTATGCATAGCCTGGCTGCTGCACCCACTCCTGGGATTCTGAGCCTCAGCTTGTCTTGTTTCAGCCAGTGAGAATTTCATGCAGAGGTCCTGCATCTTCCAGTGTTCACTTGTACCACAGCATCCACAGACCCCCATAGCATCCAGGCATGGTAGACACCCAGAGGCTGAGCCCACCAGCCCTTTCCGGCCTTTCTTTCTCCTTGAAGCCTCGTCCCAAGCTCCGCACACTTCAGATCTGTCCTGAAGCTGTAACAGTGCCTGGAATGCCCTCATCGCTCTCCCAGATTCTCTCCCTTTTTGGTACTCAGATGGCTGCTGAGACTCCCATTGGCCCGTGGAATTCTCCTCGGGGAGTGCTGGTTCAGCAAGGGCCCTGGAGGCCAACCCGGCTTCTGTTTACCAGCTACACAAGTGTAGGCAGATTGCAAAGCTTGTGCATCCCTATGACTTGCATTGGGGTATTCACACTGACAATCGAGGAATTGTGATGAGGGTTAGATAAGGTGATCCCTGAGGTTCTCAGACAGAGCTGGTCATGGAGTTCATATTCTGTTAATACTAAGCCATCATTATCTAAACACACAGTTTTGTGATTCTGATTATTTCTACATCTGCTGAGAAGGTACTGAGTCAGATACCATTAAGACAAAATCCTTCTTGCGAGAAATTTGCAGTAGACAGGAGGGAGGGAGACCAAATAATAGCACAGCAAATACGCAAGAGCAGGGCAAGATGCTGCTTGTGGGATTCTTGCTTCTACTTGGTGCTCTGTGTAGTAATGTGTCTGGTGTTACTACAACTACACAGCCAGGAGCCCCACAGTGGATTTGGGGAACTATATTTATAATGAGAAGGTAACACACAGCTAGTAACTCAAACCCCACTTTGACCTCAAATCGGATGCCCATCTTTTGCCTTTCGAAAACTTTGGAGCAAAGATCTCAGTCTCCACCCAGTAGATGCATTTGGTTCGCTGTTTACAGTGAACACTCACACTCTATTTATGTATACTGATGGACCCTTATTTCATCAGCCCTGTCTGGCCTGTGTTAAGTCCAGCCCATACTGTAAACTGGCTGTCGTTTACTATTTATAATCCGACACTCACTTTACATTGCCCAGGCCCTTTGAGACGTGATATTGATGCTGCATCGTCCACCAGAACACTGTGGGCTGTGTCTCTGACACTGCTCTAGGATTTAGAGTTCCAGATCTGTCTTCTGTATAATCATGATCATCATAGAATACTTCATTTCATAAACCGTGCTTTGAACATTTTCTAAATGTATACAGTGTGATATAGCATGTAGGGGGTGGAGACAGAGGATCCAGAGTTCAATGTCATCCTCAATTACATAGTGCATTTGAAGCCAGCCTGGGCTACATGAGATCCTGCCCCCACCAAAAAGAGTTTATAATAACATGATTGTTTTCTCTAGCTGTTTGGTGTATTTTTCTTTGCTTTTTGGAGCAAGGACCTGTGTCCTAGTCTTAGCCCACCACTGTTATGTTCATGAATAAAAATGAACTGTAAGACTTCTGTAGGTAAGGTATGGTGGCACAGATCTGTAATCCCAGTACTGAGGAGATAAAGGCAGGAGAATCAGGAGTTCAAGGTCATAGCCACATAGCTTGTTTTGAGGCCAGCCTCGGCTACATGAACTCCTGTCTCAAAAGAAAACAAAACAAAGAGCTGGAGAGATTGTTCAGTGGTTAAAGCGCTTGCCCTGCAAATGTGAGGGTGGGAATTGGGATTCTCAGAGCTCAGGTAAATGTCAGATGGGTGTAGTGGCCTACCTGTCACTCCAGCCTCTGAAGCAGGAACCCAGGATTCCCAGAGTAAGCTGGCTAGCAAGACTAGACAGATCGGCAAACTCTGGCTTTGATCGAGGGAACCTGCCTCAATGAACAAGGTAAAAGACTGTTAGGATGATTTCAGACATCAACTTGGGGCTCCACATACATGTGCATGCACACCAACATACATATATGCCCATATACACAAGTGCCTACATATGCAAAACGTGCATGCACACCACACCACACACATACACACATACACACACACACACACACACACACACACACAGAGTGAATCCCTGTTCTTTAGAGGTCTGTACTTTTTCTTTGACTGTTTTTGTTTTTTGTTTTTCGTTTTTGTCTTTTTTGAGACAGGGTCTCCCTGTAGCCCCAGCTGTCCTGGAACTCACTATGTAGACCAGGTTGGCCTTGAACTCACAGAGATCTGCCTCCCTCTGCCTCACAAGTGCTGGGACTACAGGCGTGTGCCACCACACCCGGCTC